ATCAGCCAACCAGAAACACTGACCTGAGATTAGCCAACTTAGGCTGCAGGTAGGTTCTTCCATCCACTCATTCACAGCCCTTTAGCTTCTCATAAAACTAATTTGCCTCATACTCTACTGTGCTATATCCTTTAAAATAAAAAAATGAGGATACACTCTACTAGGAAGTAGGCTGGTGCAGTCAATCCAAGTGAAGAAAATGCAAAGCTAATTCTCTGTTTCAGACTAAAGTTGGTCTTTTTATTTTTCTTTTCTTATTTTTAATTTTTTTCAGGTGTGTGCTTTAATCAAAGAGCTATCAGTCATTTGATCTCTCTTGCTAAAGGTGTCCTGCTTTGCAGAAAAGGATCCAAAATTAATGAGGGGAAATAAAGGGTACAAAATGCAGGGAACATCACTGGATTATGAAAGTCCTAGTGTCTGCTCCCAGAGTTGTTTCATCGAGTGTTTCATATCAAATGCAAAAGAATTCCTTTGAGGAGAACCTGGAGCATAGGTTTCCCCCACTCAAGAAATTGTCTAGTTCCTAGACCTGACTCCTGTGGCTAGAGAGAGAGAGACATATTACAGCTCTTTAATACTTTTAGTACAGTGAAACAGCTTCAAGGGGGTCAGCAGCGAGCTTATAGCTTGAAGGTGGGAAATGAGAGATGAAGGTTTGAACCCTTGGAGCCAGAAGGGGGAATAGTGGCTTAATGCAAAAGTAAGTGAAATTCCATGTTATATGGAATGTCAGATTAGAGGAGATCAATGGCTCCATGGCTTAAAAGAAAATAAACATAATTAAAGGGCTTGATCATATATTATGTGTTAAGTTCAAACTCTTATGAAATCAGGGTGATTAAAAACTAAAGAATTAATCAGAATCAAAGTCTGTCAAATAGTGTTTTCTCTCTTAACACCTTGGTATTCCTTTAAAGTACAAAAAAAAAGAATATTAAACCCATTTAAACCCCACTTTTATTCCATTTCTTTGTATTTGCAGCAAAATAATTTCACAGAACTAGACCTAATTATATTTCAGGGTCACCCAGTAGGATTCCTAATGTTTATTGCTCACTAAAAATATGCTGCAATCACAGTTTTAATTCCTTCATTATGCAGATCTAGACATAGTAGTCCTAGAAACTTTCTTATTAAATCTGCAGGAATCAAGATAGCTATCCCTAAAGTCAGTTCAGAGCTGAATAAATATTTTCATGATTTTGTTTTCTCAATGTTTATTATGGAAAAAATTGATTCTTGAAGAGAAATAAAAAAAAAAAGATGAGATTTTAAAATGTGTTCAAACAACTGAGAAATAGACATTTAGTGAGCATTAATGGGAACGTGCATTTTTAAGTGTTTTTGAACACCCAGTCTGCAAACACAGTATCTGTTTCTCTACAGATAGCAGGATTTTGCCACCAAATGTCTTCTTATATCAGGCGTCCCCTAAAACAGTATCTCCAACCTTTTTCTCCCACACTGCCTATCTTCAAATCATAGAATTATTTGGGTTGGAAGTGACCTTTAAGGCTCATCTAGTGCAATCCCTGTGCTACATGCAGGGACATTTTCAACTAGATCAGATTGCTCAGAGTCCTGTCCAACCTGCTCTTAGGTGTTCCGAGGGATGGAGCATCCACCCTCTCTCTGGACAACCTATGCCACTGTTTAACCACCCTCATAGTAAAAAACTTTTTCCTTGTATCTACTCTAAATCTACCCTCTTTTAGTTTAAACCACTATCCCTTCTCGTATTGCACCAGGCCCTGCTAAAAAGTTTGTCCTCAGCTTTCTTGTAGACTCCCTTTAGGTACTGGAAAGCTACTGGAAGGTCTCCATGTAGCCTCCTCTTCTCCAAATGGAAGCCCAGCTCTCTCAGTCTGTCTACATAGGAGAGGTGATCCAGCCCTCTGAGCATCTTTGTGGCCTCCTCTGGACCCGCTCCAACAGTCTCGTGTCTTTCCTGTGCCGAGGAGCGGACGGCTGGACGCGGAATCCAGGATTCACCTTTTCTCAGGCCAAAAGCAGAGAGATGATCACTTAATGGACATTCAAGGGCGGGGTGAGCACTGCAGGCGCCGCCAGGAGCGATTCCTGCGCGCACAGGGCCGGCAGGTGTCAGTGCAGCTCACAGGATCCATCGGGACAACCTGCCTGTCGCACACCGGCAGGAGTGCGACACACACCCTGTGTGCCTTCAGGAGGCACTGCCACCCTACAAACACCTCCCAGGTGAATCCACGAGCTCCTTTCACATCAAGCATTTCCTGCTGCCCCACACATACTCGATGCAAAAAATTATTCCCAGCTGTTGTGCAGGAGAACCCAACGGCCCCTGGGCTTTCCTGGACTATTTATGGAGTAAGATAATTGACTTATAGTCATATTTACATATCAACTACAGAAATTAGGTTTTTCCAAACCTGGTTTGAGTTGGGCCTTGACCAGCACTCGGATTGGGAGGGGGGCATTGCTCGGATTAGCCCTTGGCTATTGTGCTGTTACCTGTATACTCTGAATCCACTGATTTGGATACAGTCATTACATTTGCGATGGGCTGTTTATCTGGGAGGAATGTGGCCATAAATAAGGCGCCACAGGGGCAGCAAAAAGTAAGTTCAAGAAGTGTATTTGTCTATGGACAGTGGTAAAACTTGTCCCCAGACTTTGATCTGCAGCTAACAAAACACACCCAAGCACACACATACAATTCTCTGCAAACATCATGGGTAATTAAAAGCACTTTCAAAGGCTCTTTTCCATCCTTAAACTTGCTTTTATGAAATAGATGATAATTTGTTAGTTTTTAGGAGTTCTTCAAACTCTACACTCCTATTTAATTTCCTTTTTATTTCAAATTTTAAAAGTCCTTACACACTAAGTTAGCACTGAAACCTACATTTCTGTCTGAAAGCCAAAACTTTTATGTTGCCTGACCCATACAAATATTCAGTAACTAGTCAGCCATTTAAAAGTGCCTGAACCACCCACCTCCTACCCCAGTGAAACTTTTTCATTCTCTGCCTCTTTTCCTACATGACTTCCAGTCTCCTTCTCTCAAGCCCACAATTTCTGGTGGCTCAGGTCTGAACACATTTCCTCTGCAAATAGACTATATTTACTCCTAAATCAGCCAGAAATATTCAGCAAAATCAGGAAGAGGTACTTCCTCTAGGGAGTAACACTGCATAGTAAGCTACTAAAACTCAGTTAATACTATCTGAATAGAAAAAATTCTGCACACCTCTCCCCCTCCAGTACCTGTTACAATGGCACTGTAGCAGTTTGCCCACCCAGCAGGTAAGGCCTGTCTGCCTTTACAGAGAGTGCCAGCGAGAGCACACCTGCCCAGGACAAGGCAAAGGCGGGTTGAGCTTGGCTGGCATCTCATCTTGCAAACTGCATGGGCAGAAACATGGTGCCATTTCTATAGCACTCAAAAACAAACCTTGATTCAGCACAGGACAGATATAACACATGCCACAGCTGCTGGCCCAGAGGGCAAGGATTGTTCCTTGGCACCGTCCAACAAAGAACATACTGATGTAGTGGTGTTTTCCAATGCATTCACCAACCTCGACGGTTACAGAAAGCTTCAAAACATTCAGAATGTCTCAGGCAAGGTAAGTTACATACAGAGGATAAGCATTTTATTTATTTATTATTTTTAGTATTTTTTGGTTTAATTCACAACAGAAAGGCAGTATACACAGGAACACTTAATTCCAAACAAATGAAACTAGTTCTTATCAACTTCATGGATTAAAAATAAAAATAATCACAGTAATCAATGACACAGTATAAACAAACACAGAAACCCATTTAGGAAATTCAACCAAATGATAAAAAGTAGTTTCAAATTAAACTTTACCAAAAAAATTCATTACTGCACAAAGTAGTGCGTGTGTGTTCAGCATTATGCTTGCCCTAAAACAAATACAAAAACTCACCTAACTTCCCACACCTAAACTTCCACATCATTAATAAATGACACCTTCTTTCCACTAGGTTCTGACTACAGCTTCTCCTACTTAAAAGTAAAATGCTATTACAGCTGAGGCTGGGGACAGGAGAGGTACACACTAAAGAAAGAAGACTGGGCATAAAAATCCCAGCGAGACATCCCAGCAACTTACTCTAATGATCATATCACATCTGTGTAACACACTTCTGAAAATCTGCATCAACAGTGGCAACAAGACATTTTCTGTATTTACAGGTATAGTATAATCCCGAAAATGCTTTCAATTATCTAGTTTCTCCTCGAAGCACTTTGAGAATCAGACCTTCAGAAACAGAAATATTATGATGAGCTAGTCTCATTACAAGTTAAAAAACCCCACATATTCTTGCAAATAAATCTAATATTTGGAATTTAGGGTATCCAAATGATTTTTAAAAAGAAGAGACACTCAAACACTTTTCCAACTGAAAGACAGTCAGAAGTTAGAATCAGAGTTAACTAACCCTTAAGTGTTAGTGTCTCTAGATGAAAATTATTACTTGGCACTACAATGAACATAGCCCAGTGCAGCAAGTGCAGTCATCACTCAATATAAGTAACATTGCACAGTACAACTTTGTGTTTTATCCTAAGAGCAAGCAGTATATCAAAGTATTGACAAGGTAAACTTTTTTAAGTACAAAAAACTTGAAATTCTGCAATATAAAGAAACAGTGCAATATAAAGAAAACAGTTAATCACAAACCATCAAAAAACCCCTCTATTTAATCAATACATTAACATAAAATTTCTGATACTTTAGATAGTATTTAAGAAATTTTACCTTACACATTTTCTGATTTGTTACTAATGGGCATTTTTTACTTGTACACTGAAAATATTTGCATGCTTTCTTTATGTAAAATTCATCAGCAGAGAAAACCTTGTAAAGAAAGATCAGTTGGCATTGTCTTACTTCTTATTTACTTGACTTTCCCAGACACGTCTCTTTCCCTTAAAAAAAATTAGATTCCACTTTCCCAATAGAGCTTTCAGGTTTTCATATTAGTTAAATACATTGTGATATGGGGGGAGGGGGGAGCAGGGGGTTGTGTGTTCTTAGATCTCATTATAGAGATGCATTAGATGTGTTGTCTATCATTAGGGTTGCATTCATTTTCTCATTGAAATTCAAACAATCACAATACAAAGAAAACCCCTCATATTTCAGGCCTCTTCATGCTTTATCTTTGTCCAAACAACTGAGGAAGGAAGTGAGGGGAAAAATAAATAATCAGCTGACAGCTGACAAATTCTTACAATTTCAGAATGGATATTGAAAAAAAAACCCTCTTCTTAGACATATACAGTATGCCATCACTTTTCAGTTCTGAAATATCCTCCTCCTACACAGAAGAAAAAAAGCAAAGGCTCCCAATGTTTCCCTTTAAGGTAAAAACAGTATCCTGACTTGACTAAGTGCTCAGAGAAAACTTCCTCTCCTCATTCTGACAGATGAGGAGGAGGACGAAGGAGAGAGATCAATGGAACACATGCTCAGCAGAGTGAATGACCCCAACTGTGATGCAACTCAGATACCAAGAGAACCTTAAGATGGGTCAACAGCATCTGTACATCAAGAGTTAACTGACAACAATTTAATTCACGTTCCTCCCATAAATGGGGATCCAGGTTTCTGGATTATTATTAGTAAACATTCCCCTAATGAGACAAACTATTCTTACATGGAAACTTCGGAATCAGAAACAAAGAGAAGGATATGTTTCGCATCTTCATTTTCTGAACATTCAAAACAAGGAGGAGACAACACCACTGTAAAACATGTTAATGCAAATAAAGTTTTACACATAGACACACAAAAACTGCAAGAACATTCCAACAGAAAGGTTTGTCAAAGACACGACTGTCTAAATATAACAAGAGATCTTAGAGGAGAAAAAATATATACCAAGAGCAGTATCTGTATTCTTTTTTGCATTGAAGTAGTGCTTTCCTAACTGCAGTCTATTCATTATTTAACTAATTCTTTTGACAGTATCTTCACACACTTCCCAGACTGCAGAACATTTGAATCACAAGTCTCAGACAGTGCTTCTTCTTGCAGATTTACTCTGTATTATGCCAACTTTACTTTTCTTATCATCATAATGCTGAAAAAATCCTAATGTCTTCACAGTATTGTCCATCTTTTGCAGGTTATTTTTTCTTTCAGTGTTGTGTGAACTCAGATCCCTTGTTAATGACACTCCAGCAGTCACTTTACTAGACTTCCTTACTTGAAACTATAATAGTTTCAAGTATTATAGTCCTGTGCTTCAGACAGCTTTTCTCTTCTTTGCCTAACTTCTGTCAGCAAAATCAGAATTTTCAGCGCAATTATAATCTGGTTCACAAAGGGAAGCACAGTAACTAGAATCTGAACACTCAGGCTGCCAATCTGTTTCTTCTGATTTAAGACTGTCAACCGGAATGGGGCAGCACCTACTCTGAGAGCAGACTGCATGGCCAGCAGCAATTAAGACATCAGCAAGACTGCTGTCATCGTACAGAACATCCACCTCTAATTTCATTTCTGAGCCATAGTGGATGAAATGAAATATCAGAAATGGTTTAAGAAGAAGCTTCTGAAACAAAAGTATAGCTTCATCACTCCAGTGTTCCCCTTTGGCAGGAACTGCATCATGCAAAGAGCAAGACTGTGCCAAGCGTGGCAAGTAAAACAGACTTTCTGGAATAACTTTAAGTTTATGGATTTCAGAGTAAGGAATGCTCTTCAGAAAGCCATAATCAATAAATGTAAGAACAACAGACTGACTTGTTACTTCACTAATTTCTACCCTGTACCACTCTGCTTTCAGTCCAAATTTGATCAAGCAGTTGGCACCAGGGGCCACATGTTCTTTTGGGAGAGCTGGCAAGTTGTCAGGAACATCAGAGAGCAGCAAGGACAACTTTTGCATGCAGTCAAAGAAGACTTCAAACTGGACACTGAAGTTTGAAGGATCAGTAACTGCAGTTGCAAACCCTGGATACGTTCTGCCACTTCGCAGCAGCATCCACATGACTGAATTTATCTTGAATGACATACCAAGTTCTTTACAGTTTGTACTTCTGGATTTTTCTGGTCCAACAATTGTCTGACAATGGCTTAAGAACTGGTTCAAATACTCCTGAAACATAACTTCCCCTATTAAAATATCTACCTCCCAGATACCAGAGGATTTCAAAAACCTCAAAAACAAGATCCTTATTTCAGAATCCAGGAGTGCATTTAATACATGGTCAAACTGAATTTTCTTCAGGTTTTTAAACCAAACCCATTTACAAAACACAGCTTGTTTAGGAACATTTTTAATCTCATCACTGAGCATCTTTGCATTATTTAAGGACACCATTTCGCACGTGCCATAATCCATGAAAAAAACTAGCATTAACTTCTCCCTGACAAATTTCTCTATCACTTCCGATCGATACCACCTAAAGTTCTTTTCAGATTGTGTCATGCATTCCAGTCCTTTTTCAATATCATCCACTCTAAGCAAATCACTTCTCTGTGCTTCTTTGTCAAGCATTACATTTAACTCATGCAGTATTTGCAAATTTGTAACTAACTGTACATAAAATTCTCCAGTCTCCAAAATATTAACCACTTCTGCTGCTTCTATTTGTCCAAAATTTATAACTTGATGAAGGATACTTATGGGGGTTTGGGGAGTATTTTTCATCCTAACAGCCTCAGTTTTACTTTGACCATCTAAACCATTCCCAGACCTTCTATCTTGAGGATTACCATTTTGGTTTGGCCTATTGTCACAATGACACATTTGTGCGTTTTGCCACCCTGCCTCGTCTATTTCCTGCAGAAGGTCATTAGACACAGACTTTCCATCACAAATTACATCTATTTCCCATTGCTCTCCATGCTGCTGTAAGAACTTGCAAGTAACTAGCTCATTACTTAATTTTCTTGCTAAATAAGCAGCACTTTCTTTAGTCCAGCTTTCATCAGGAACACTTTTTACATTGCTAAGAAAACAATGAACACTAAACCTTGGCAGAGCTAAGAACTCTTCTGGAATCCTGCAGATGTTTGATGAACTTACAACTGCAGCATTACCATAGTCAATAAACTCTACCTCAAAGGAGTTTCCTGATTTCAGAGTTTTAATAACTGCTCTATAGTAAAAACAATCAGCTTCATGCTCTGCAACTATAAGATCTCCTACCATGAGCTCATCTAAGCAATTTTCAAGACTCCTGTTCTCCAAGCTTTCATTTAAATCATTTGCTAATTTTACTATTAAGTTTTCATCCTCTGCAAGGTGAACATAGAAACTTGATAGACTATTCATATGAGAAATATAAACTGCTACTTCGGTATTCATCTGTATATCACGTTGAGGAAGACTGATTAATGTAGGTGTATTTTTATTACTCCCTTCCTGCTGACCTGTACAATGTAGTCTTTCATTATGAGATTCAGAGAGAGCATTTACAGCTATTTCCTTTGAAGTTAAAGCAGAATAAGAGAGTGAGTGAGAAGCAGGTTCTCCAGTCAGAGGTTTTCTGTTCTCCGGAACAGCACTGAAAGTATTTCTAAAGCCTGGTTCTTCGCTGTTCTGTAAAGTTTGCTGTTTTAAGGATCCTCTACACAATTTTGATGTGCTACATGCACTTTGCTCTTCATCTCCAAAATTCTCTTCAGTATCTGTCTGGTCATCATATACTTGGCATTTCACTTTGGTTTCCAATTGAAGTATTTCAGGATTTTTAACAATTACTTTATTAATTTCTTTGCCATCTTCTATGTGACATCTCACTCTTCCATAACTTCTAAATTGTCCCATACAGCTTTTCTGTGCCTGCTCTTCTGATATTTTTTCTTTAAGTTTTTGACTTACTTTGAGCTGACCATCATACAACTCCACAACAATCTTTCCATCCGATTCTCTGGATAAAATTACAGCCTTCAGCAGTTTACCAAGAAATCTTTCCTCAAACCATCTAGTAATGCTTGCTGGAATTTTTCCCCCCCTAAAATCTGACAGACAGCATTTAATAGCTTGCATAGGTGTGAATATTAGGTCAGTCGCAGAGTCTGGAATGGGCATCAACTGGTCTCTCTCCACCACACTCTTATTTCCAAAATCCACATAGTGAGCCCATACATAGGATGTCGCTTCCACAGGAAAAGTCAAAGCTCTGTAAAAGAGACCATCTTCAAAATATCTGGCTATACATAATCGTGTATTGCTGGTATCATACTTTGCATTATTTAACGTTTTACTTAGGTCACTAATTCTCTTCATCAATGCCTCCACAGTTTCAGTGTTTCGATTAAGCTGACAGTAGAATTTTGAAGGATTATTTATGTGAGTTATATAAACCTCCTCCTCACTGCCAACTTTTATATTAAAAGATGAGTAGCAAAAACTGTACAGAGAACCCAAAGACGCAAGGTTTCTCAGTCCAACATACTCAGACTGGATGAGACCACGTTCTCTGAGGAATTCCTCTGCACTAGTGAGTGGAGTCTGTAAGTCAACAACATTGCATAAACAGCCGGGGCTCACGAGAACAAGAGCATAAATGACACAAGTCAGTGGTCCTCTAGAAGAAGAAAGGAAGTCTTCAAATTGTCTGTGCATTTCTTCAGACCAAGTGAGTGAGTCAGCCTGTAAGGGTACATTTTTAAGCCCACATCGAAATGCCTGACTTTCCAGAGTTAGGAAATCTGGAAGAACAGCCTGAAGATCTTTAAGTAAAACTCTTTCTCGATAACCATAGTCTACAAAAACCACATCAACTTCATCTCTAGATACCTGCTGCACAACAGTTGCTCTGTACCACTTCCCATCTTTGGGACATTTAACAACACAGGCAACCTGTCCGGTTTTGTAAGGACTGGTATGATCTTCATAGTAAGTCTGAATTTGTCCCATTAAGTTACTTAGCTCTGGCAGTTTGCTTTGCAACTGACATGAAAAATCTGATGGGGAAAAAATGCAAGAACATACCACTTCAAAAACATCTCCTGGTTTAAACACAAACTCTTTATAGAACAATTTTTCCTCACATACCGATTTATGCATTTTAGAGACAGCACCTTCTCCAAAACAGGATGGCACAACAGATTTTCTAGGCATTGGAGACACACGTAATGATTTTTCTGTCTGAAGTACGTTTCCATTTCCAGATATCTTACTTTTATGAATATTACCAGTGCTCTCTGCATTGATTTTTGATTTTTTACAGCTGTGCCTTTTTTGTGCTGACCTTGGAACAGAATGTGGTGGCTTTTCCCAGTATTCAGCATATCCAGCTTGAACCATACATGCAGCAACACTTCCTTGCTGCAAACCAATACAATACACATCAACAATGTACTTGTTGTTTTGCTTTCCAATGACATGAAGCAGCAGTAGTTTGTTCAGCACTACACTTTTAAAGAAATCAGTTTCTTTTTTAACCCACACACCATCAACAGGAAACGTGCAAGCAAGGGAACAACCCATAGCTAAAGCTGGTAAAGCAGAAAACTGAGGAAGCAATATTTTCACATGGTGACAGGGTACCGTATCTGTATTTCCAAAATCCAAAAAACAAACAGTAATGTTTGCATGAAGCACTTTTATGACAACAGCCCGGTAATAACACCCATCTCTGCTATACCGGGCACAGCACAGCAACCCCGGTTCTGGTTTTTTAAGGACCATTTCATCAGCTTCACATTGACTGTATGTGTGGCCAATATTTGTCATCAAGGCCTGAAACTCATTCCGGTACCTACAAGTTTGAATCCAAAAGTCAGATGGATTTATGATATGTACCGCAAAAGCTTGATAGAAAGAATTCATTTGCATCTCTTCTCTTTTGCAGTGGATGGAGAAAGAAATATCCCGTTCAGGTAAGCAGGTTTTTGTATCTTTATTTCCAGTAAAATTCTTAAATGAATTGTATCTCTCAGGACATGGTTTGTAGTTTACAGCAATACTTGTGAGTTTTGTTTCCAAAGGCGAGTCACATGATGCAGCTACCTCATTCAAGTTTTCAGGATGCTTAGCAGTAATTCCAAGATCTTGTTTTTGCAGTGTAATATAATACAAGTGTTCCGTGTTATTGTATAAATCAACATGGGCACACACAGAAGTTTGTCCTATCAAGGCCTGCATAAGGGCTTTCAGCTGAAATTTTATTACTGTTTCATCCTGACTACCAAAACAAGACAGTGCACATGGAAATGAAATCATTGGTAATGTTATGAACTCAGCTCTAAGTTTCTGAACACAACTAGGTGGCACAGCTTCAGTAACACCAAAATCCATAAACCAGACTTCCACGTGGTCAGAGAGAATTTGTTTTATCACTCCTCTATGCCACTGCCCATTTTGCCTCTTGGCAGCACAAAGTAGCCCTAAACTATCACAAGATGTAGTATTTTCTCCAACAAGAGCTTCATAGTACAAATGCATAGCTCCAGTCAAATCTTCCAGCTGTTTCTGCCACTTCTGTATCTGACAATAAAATTTATTTGGGCTCACTGCACCAGTTATTTTTACATTTTCTTTACTGCCAACAGGTAGACATGGAAAGAGTTCATGTGGAACGTGCCAAAAATTTGTTGCTTTCTCAGAATTATTTAGGGTAAACAACTCCCTGACTGGATACTTCTGTTTCAATAGTTCCGGCATTCTATTACAAAGCACTCCTTGGGGCAACACTCTTAAAGTTTCTACAATAAGACAAAATGAATCTCCATCAATAAATTTACCTAACTTCAATTCAAGAACATCAGTAATAATCTTTGGCACTTCTAGAATAAACACCTGGTGTGGTATAACAGCCTTCACGTGTCCTGTAATCTGTAATCCCACTAGAGATGAAAAATAGTTAATGGCGTTTGGACTCCATTTGTCTCCAAGAGGAAGTATGCTTGCAAAAACACCCAAAACCACCTTTGGAGGCAGTTGAAACAATTCATCACAAGCAGCAGCAACATGTGTTTCCTCAACTGCCAACACATATCCAGCGTCTATAAGAAAAGCCTCACAGATAGTCCCTTTCTTTCCCAGAACTCTTCCTCTGTGCCATTCTCCTTCTGTGTCTTCCACCAAACAAGATCCACCAGTGCAAACATTCTCTTTCACTTTGAACACCCGCTGTATTTCATTCTGCAGTATGTAATAGTCAGGCTCACACCCTGTGTTGTACTGAGCATGGAACATTATAACCAAGCACTCAGGATGGCATTCTATGTGATTTATCTCCAATTTCATATCTCTTGGGTCTGGTAAAGGAGTCAGAGATTCCATCCTGTCTGCAAAGAAAAGAAGTATGATCACCCGGATAATTTTCCATATTTTTTTCTTTGCAACTAATTCCTTACGTGGCATTTGTTTTCAAAATCTTGTAATAGCATATTTTTAAAATTCTGGTTAAAATGTATGCTAAACGTTTTAGAATGTCATGTTTTATGCAACTGGGATACACTTGACACAATTCCCTTTGAAAGACACGCTCAGATAACATGAAGAAAGTACCTCTGGATTCACTCTTGTGGCTACAGGCTAATTCTATCACTTGAGATTAACTTCTAACCAAAAGGTTGCTCCCAGAATAACAGAGACAATTTCAGATTATATCAAAAAACTAGGGGGACAAGGGAGGTAATGGACATGCAGGAATGCGGAATCTGGCAGGACAGACAAACAAGAAGACTGTATTTTTTCTCAAAGAAAGGTGTGTCTGCTCAAAGAAAAAAAGAGTGGAAAGCAATTCCTGTCATTTATGTAATGTCTGCTCATCTCATAACTGCTACTTACATGCAGTAAATTTAACTGCAAATCTCTCCAAAGGAGATGCAATTCAGTGTTTCATTGCACTGAAACTGCAGTTACAAACAGACCTTACCTGCAGAAGTACTTTCAGTCTGTTTCTCTTTCTTTTTAGCATGTCAGTGACCAAGGACTCACCCTGCTTTTTCTGTCTAAATCATTTCTTCAAATCACTGACATTTTATAATTCTGTGCTTTACTGTTTACATACTCTGGCTCTCTCTATACTATCACTTACAGCAATAGTATATTTTAAATTCTCATAATTACAAGAACATACTAAGCACATCATCATGTGCAACACTTCTTCACTTTCCATCAAGTAACAATTGTGCCAGCTGTGTTTTGTACTGTCTCAACGTTCCAATTCTGACAGTTTAAGTATCTTCAAAACCTTCAGATATTTTTCTGATCTTCATCTATAATCTGGTCTTTAAACTCAGTTTCCAGTTCAATTCACAAGTCAATGACTCAATGGATCTGTGATTTCACATTGTCTAAAAATGCTGTCCATGACCATAATTTCATCAAGCAATTCCCTTAAATAAACCTCTAACAAAGTAATCAGAGGTAGACAACAAAATGCAAAAACAGTGGATAAACACACAAGGAGAGACTGGATAATAATCTTGATTTATGAATTTTTATGTAAAGCTGAAATTTAAACTTTCAGTTTCAATAACAAGTTATTAGGGCAAGATCTTCCTCGGCCTGCAAAAAATCTTCAGTGGAACTGCCATGAGAGTTTTCATCATAAGCATACATGAAGTGACTACCCAAGCTCTCCTCAGAACAAATATTGTTTCCTATCATTTTACTTCCACAAAAAATAATAAAAAAATCCCTAATAAATAAATGAGAACTCCTACTATAAAGCAGGAGGGCAGAAGGACAAAGAATACATCACATCTAAAAGCAACAAAAAAAAACCCCCAAAAAATCTAAAACCACTAGCCACCAAAAAAACCCCTCACAGCAAAAGCAGTACCAAACCCAGATCTGCCAAATACATGCTCCAACAAGGCCCTTTTCTATCACTTTTCCCTGTAACAGAAAGGTAAATTCTGGGGGGGGGTTAATGAAAGAAAACAGCCTTCAGAGAAGGGTTCTCTCTGCTGGGAATAAAGACCTGATCACTACAGAGAAGCAAACTTTTGAAGGGGCATTACTGATGCTCTGGGGCCTTTTCTTTCCTCCTTCACTGAAACAAAGCCCTGCCTACATAAATACATAACAAATTAAAACAATTTTACATCAACATTTGCTTGCCTGTTACTACAGCCCAAATAACAGCAGCACACTGATACAGTCACATTTCTACAGTTTACAAAAATAATCTTTTGCTATTTACTTACCTTTCCACTACTTAAGGCTTACTCACTCAGAAGACACCTTCTAAAGGAAAAGCAGCCCATTATTAACAACTCTGCATCTCTCTACAAAGAAAGATGGTAGACAAATCATTAGGATGGTAGAAAAATCATCAGAGAAATCATAAGTAAACTAAATTCCTTTACTACTTCTCTTATCAAAAGCAGCGCTGAGGATGAAGTCTTGAGGGTGTTTGTTCACGAGAAGCTCAACATGAGCCAGCACTCTGCAGCCCAGAAAGCCAAACATATCCTGGGCTGCCTCAAAAGCACCATGGGGGGCAGGCAGAGGAAAAGGATTATCCCCCTCTGCCCCACCCTACTAAGACCCCACCTGCAGTGCTGCATCCAGCTCTGGGGTTCTCAGCAAAGGAAAGATGGGGACATGTTAGAGAGGATCTAGAGGAGGCCACAAAGATGAACAAAGATGAACAAAGATGAAAGGGCTGGAGTACCTTTACCACGGAGACAGGCTGTGGGAGCTAGGGCTGTTCAGCCTGGAAAAGAGAAGGCTCCAGAGAGACCTTACAGCACCTTCAAGTACCTAGAGGGGCTACAAAAGAGGTGGAGAGGGACTTTCACAATGGCATAGAGCAATAGGACAAGAGGGAACAGCTCCCAATTGAAAGAGAGCAGTTTTAGATTAGATATTAGGAAGAAATTCTTTACACTGACGGTGCCCAGAGAATTTGTGGATGCCCCACCCCTGAAGTGTTTAAGGCCAGCCTGGACGGGCTCTGATCAACCTGGTCTAAGGAAAGGTGTTCCTGCCCTTGGCAGGGGGTTGGAACTGGATGATCTTTAAGGTCCCTCCCACCCAAACCATTCTGTGATTCTCTAAATCCTCCTCCTGCCCAACAAACACACCTTGTAAGAGTTCCTCACACCTAGTTTAACTATAATCTTAAAATCACACAAAAAAAAAATAATTACAAAACTGAATCCACCTTCCTAAAAGCATGGTCTGACCACTCTTTTTCCACTGCAGCTCAAAAACCACCCCAGTCAGAGAAATACAATGCAGGTGTCTACGACCTACTTTCCAAGCAGGAGAGACCACTCACTTACTTTTTTGCTTGCAACGCTTTAGCCACCAAAATGCACGCTGTATAACTCACCACCTACCATACAGGCAACACATGGCACAACAAAAAGGGCTTTTAAATGCAACCAAGTGCAGGACATGAGGGACGTGTTCCGAAGCAGCCGCTCTGCCCGGGGCTGTCCGACGCCGCGCCTACCTGAGAGGAGCCGGCACGGAGTCGGGCGCGGCCCCGCACCGCGCGGACGCTGCCACCGCCAGGCGAGACCCGAGAGGGAAGAACAGCGCCCGTCAGCAACTGCCGCGGCTTCCTCACCGCTCACGGGCGAGACAGCACCGTGCGAGAGCCAGAGGCGCCAGCACAGGATCACAACACCACAGGATCACAACACCACAGGATCACAACACCACAGGATCACAACACCACAGGATCACAACACCACAGGATCACAACACAACACCACAGGATCACAACACTACAGCCCCACCACCGCTCGCACCCCACGCCCAAAATGGCGGCGCAGCGCGCGGTGGGCACACGCTGCCTGGGAACGCGCGTGCGCCGCGGCACTGCCCGCGCCCTTCGCGCCGCTCGTGAGGAGGACGGGGCTGGAGGCGAGGACGGCGGTTCGAATCCCGCCTTTCTGCGCGGGGGCGGTGCGGGGCTCATTGGCTTTTCCGTATAAAGTCGTGCCTTCTTCTGTTGTTTCTTTCTGGGTTTTGTTTGTTTAGTTGTTATTTTCCCGGTGCGTTTTCACGTTGCCGTTGTGATTTATAAGGTTTTCCCTAAAGTTTGAGTAAAGTGTCTGTGGGTTTATGAGTCTGCTGTAGCTGCCTCAAGAGGACTTGGGAGCAGCTTGAGAGGACTTTCCCACTGGCGGAAAGAAATTCTCCAGGCTGTGAAAAGTACATCTTAACAGGCTGCAAAGTGCTGCCCTCACTTGCTTTTGAGTGCATGTCTGGCCTTTTTTTTTTTTTGGGGGGGGGGTTGGAGGCAGTCTTGAATTGTTTTGATTTGTGATGGGTTTGTTTGGTTTGGTTTTTTGGGGGTTTTTGGTTTTTTTGGGGGGTTTTGTGGGTTTTTTTGGTTTTGTTTGTTTGTTTTGTTTTTTTTTTACAAAGAATATAAGCTTAAGTGGTCACAATAAGAAAACTTAATTTGCTGTATCCTACAAGTATTAACATGCTGGTGTGTCTATAATTGATTGCACTCTTTAGAAAAGAGTGCACCTCTGTATAGTAATTTCTAAGGGTTTACCTTCAATTTTTACCCTTCCCCCCCCCACTGGTCAGGATTGCTGCACTATAGTTCCCCTTTGCAAAGTTTAGAGAGAAAAGCTGGGTTTGCAATACTTGAAGATTGCAATTTCCAAATACAGCTAATACGTTAAAGTCTGTATAATATACATTTAAAGTGGTATTGGAGCTACTTGGATTAATGCTGAAATTTACAGGAGCTCTTAATTTGATTTTGCAGGTAAGTGGTCATGTTTATCCTGGTCAAGTATTTGTGAAAACTACTCAGAACAAAGGTTATAGAGGTCTATCACTGATTGAACTTCAACTGTGTATTTATGGATAAAATGCCTAGTTTATTCTTGCATTCTTACGTTGGTCAACAGAATTCCACTACTGGAAAACTCCAGTTTCTAATTTCTAATTACTTTCAGTTTTTTCTGGTCTGTTTACTTCTTTAACAGAAAGTAACATTGTACACACTTATTCTGAACAGTAAAGTTGTTTATTTTCCTAATGTAACACACTAATGTCCTGTGCACTCTCCTCTGTACCCCAGGCTTTCCATTTTGGACTCAGCCCATATCAGTTTTTTTTGTTTGTTTGTTTGTTTCCTTTTTTTTATTATTATTTTTGTCCCCCTAGGTAACAGCAACACGCTTCAGGGTTTGAATGTATGTACTTTTCTTTAGGCAGCTCTTCCAGAAGGCCTTCCCACAGAAAGCATCTTGCCCTCAGCAAGTACCTCTCTACAGAAGGTGCAGACTTCAAGAAGCTTCTCTAGTCTTACAAGTAAATGGGTTTGTAACATTTCCATTCTGGGATGGCAAGTAATTTATCACCTTAGTGTATGCCACACATTTATTTATTTCTTAAGAGAACTGTTTACTTGAGATGCTGCGTTCTGTGTACTGGTTGGGCTTAAGTGGGCTGTCTTTTAAGACTATTCCAAATTTACATTTCCTTGAGTACACATCTTATTACAAGAAAACTATTCTAAAGAGATGGACATGCAGTGTATCTAAAGACTTTGGAGAACCTTGCCAAACATCTGAGCATACTTGTGTCACTTTGAATAAAAAAGATAGAATACCAGTGTTTTTAGCATAACAGTAGGCTGATAAAAACTGTGTAATACTGACATTTTCTGTTCTCTAAGGTGCTTTGAAGCTCCAACTGAATTTATCTATGTGATTTTACTTGATGCTAGATGATCATTAACAAACTCTAGTAAGATTATATTTCATTGACAGAAGTAAAATACAGTTGAAAAAGAATTTTGTTGTGTGAGGCTTTGCTCTTAACAAATCTTGACTACGACAAAACCCCAAAAGTGAACCTCAAGTTTTTCTTTATATGAAACTACTGAACAAGGAACACACTTCATGAGCCTTCTGTGCTCATGGGATGAAGAGTCTGTTTATACCCATTTTTATTCTATAGGAAATGGTGGACTGTGAAACTCTGTGTAGAGGAACGAGTACTCGTTTTCCTTACAGATTCAAGCATAGTATAAGGAAAATAAAAGCTTTCTTCTAGAGTTTAACAGAAGATCATAAGTGAAGCTCTGCTGCCAGCTGCCTGCCAGTAGGTAGAACATAGCACTGTTTGAGTAAACTTGTTGAACTCAGATAATGAATATCTAATCACAGTTCTAGCTAACTTCCAGCACTTAAGAAAACTGGTTTTGAGTGGAGGGAACATAAGACAACGTTATCCTTTGTTGTCAAAACTGAGGGCCATACTGAAAAATATTACCCAAAGGATGTCTTTTGGATGACATGGACGTTCATCTTCCAGTCTAAACACCAAAAGTAGTCTGCAGCCTTCTTAGGTTGTTCTCGGCAGTTAGTAATTATGTATTTGCTTTGATTTGAGCAGTAGAAAAATTACAAGACAACACTGCAATCTGTAAGATACCATATAAAGGAGGAGAGGAATCATCAGCATCTTCTGTTTGAGTTTTAAAATAAAATTGTCTTGCTGAATTCACTGTGGGGAAAAAAATAGTTAACTACCTACCTCCAAGGAAGGGAAGAGGATAAGAGTATCTCCCCAGTGTAGAAACAGAAAAGTGTTTAAGTCTTGATCTTCTCCTTAATGTTTCCTTTCTGGGTGACTAAATAGCTGAATGCTCATGGTGCTGGTTCTATGCTTTGTATGCTGACTGGAGTGAATCCCAGTCTGCAGCACCTGACATTCACAATGAATTATGTAATAGTCATAGCTGCTTTGATTCCACATGGGGAGAGAAGGAGAATTAAGCAACACATATCCCGCTTTTGATCCCAACAGCTATTCTGACAGCTGTCCTCAGTTTTGCTAAGATTGTTTCTGAATGTTAATACCATAAAACTGTTTCTAAAATAGATAACTATTACACTTCTTCACTTTTAAGAAGGAGGTCTGTCATAACAAAGTACTTTTAAACTGTCTCCTGTGGGTTTTGGTTAGTTCATGACGTGCTAAAGTTTATGGGAGAGGCACTTGCACTTTGTGGCTTAGTTCCATCTCTCTCAGCTTGATTATTGTGCAAACCTGCAAATAGATCAGTGATATCTGATTATCAGAAACATTTTTTATTGTATGTAATCAGCTACTTTTCTAAAATACACTGCAGCATTCCTTGTTGTAGCATTTTTGCTTGTGTTTTAAATAAATAGCTTTAAAAGGGAAGATGTAGGTAACACAGAGATCTGAGTGAGTGGTGACAGCAGAAATACGGAACATTTCAGAGTTCTGAAAATAAAGAGTAAAAGCACCTCTGCCTAAGATAAATCTCACATAAATGGATTTTTTTTCCAGGTCAGCTCAAGTTTATTTTTTAAACAATGACACTTACAATTAGAAATATGTGATATAAAAATAATCATATTGTTCCTGAATAATAAGCTTTCCTGAAAAAATCAGTGTCTCTTCTGAAACTTTGATACTACAAGATCAGTATAAAACTTTTTCTTTTTTTACTGAAGTCAGTCCAAAAGGTTTGCTGGTTTTTTTAGTAGTCAACAAACTTGAAAAATAATGGGACTCAAAAGTGTAATTTCAAAACAAAAGTTTGTGCCCGTTTTCCTATTTTGTTTTTCAAAGTGTGTCCTCGATGTGTTTTTCTTGGTTTGTGTTTCTGTTAAGTGGGTGATAGCCACGAGGTGGCAGAAGCAGCCACGAGTTTAGCAGGATGCTCGGAAATACAGTTGTGTTTCTTCGGTAGAAGGAAGGAGCACAGGAGCGTTCAATTCAGTGTGACCCATAATGAAATGTGAGGGTGCATGTGCTGTAGAGTTTCACCAGAATGGTCGTCACACCTTTTGAAGCTACTTTAAATGTTTTCAGGTAATCTAAAGTAATTCTCAAAATATTTTCAATCTGTTTACGGTACCTATTTACTCAATACACAGTCAAAATTTCATTTCAAATATTTTACTAAATCACATGTCAATTTTACCACCTCTAGATTTTTTTTTAAACTATGTTAATATCATCACTTATATGAAATTAGTCGTTTACTGAGCAGCTTACATATAAGAAAGCAGAGGGAAGAAACAGCTTTTACAAAATTCTTTCAGTAGTAGATGATAAAATTATAGAATGGTTGGGGCTAATAGGGACCTTAAAGGTCGTCAAGCTTCACCCTCTTGCCATGGACAGGGACACTTTCCATACTGTTGCTTCTTGAAATACCCATTGCACATTTCAGTGACAATTAGTGTCAGAGCAGAGAGATTTTCCCATTGCATCAGAAGACATGGCCATTTTACAGGTGAAAGAACAAACTGAGACTTGTTAAATAGTGGGACAAAGCAGAAGGTAGAATTTCTGTTAAAAGGGGCCTCTTCAAATAGATGAGTTTTGCCATATGGGTTAGACAATACCAGTACAGCTGTGCAGATACAGAGCCATTTTTAGTGGTGAGACTGAGTTTCTCTGCTGTGCAATTTGTAAGGGTGGGGCTCTGTGGTAAGGTCACAATCATTATGTCATCTTAACTACCATTTGGACCCAGAATGCAGAGTTGTGCATAAAACCCTGCACTACAGTTTTACTCTGGTACCTGGATCTGCTGTAGGGGATGAAAGACTGTCAGGGACCATTTACATTGGGAATTCCTGAGTAGATCTGCAAAGTTAAATGATTAGTGC